TCTCTGAAAGGTGGATGGGCTGTTCCTTAGCGATAGGGTGATGAGATTATTCATTTGGGAGGGGTTCAGCGTAGAGCCGCTACTCTTCCACATCGAAAGGATACGGCTAACTCCATCATCTCCTGGGTAAAGTCTTCAGACCAGGCATGTGTTAGCAGCCAGAGGCCACAACATAGACCCGGGTATGCTGGAGCGATTACATCTGTCAGCTGTCCTGGGAAACACTCGACATTTCCCCGGATAAGCTGGGGGAAGTGGCAAGAGGAAAGTTTGGGTTTCCCTGCTGCCACCACGACCTGACTGACAGATAAGCGGAAGAAAATAGCTCGATGTTTTCTTGATTTGTTATGGTAAAATGGCCTGTATTTGTATAGCGCTTTACTAGTCTCTAAGGACCCCAAAGCGCTTTACACAACCAGTCATCCACCCATTCACACACACATTCACACACTAATGTGTTATGTTAGATTTTACCTTGTTCAAGTGGTTGTCATGAATTTTCAACAATCTGCATCATTAATAATGCACAGCAAGTCGCGATTTATTCATCTTCCAGATGTTCTCATATTTTAGAAATACATGAACATATATTACATTTATATTTTTTCATATCATATATATAAGTATTTTTCTTCTTCGCTGTCTGGATCATAACATGTAATGTTGATAATGCACAATGCAAGGTGACGCACAGTTAATCAACATGATTCGTTATCGAAGAATGTCATAAATGGCTTAAAACGCCTTTCTTATCAGTTTTTGACATTTTCCATTAAACGGTTTTGACATTTAACTAAATATTTTAGTGTTTCTTAGTTCTAGACTAGTCAATTAGTCTACTTTTTTCCCCTCATTTAGTTGAGTAAGAATTTAGTCGCTTTCCTAGTGTGCAGATGGGTAGGTAATTATTACACTAATGCAAAAGTGCTATACCATTTGCAAAAGAAATACAGCCCGCTGACATGACAATATAATCCACAGTTTGTATATTCAGTGCATGATTCCAAATGACTCATCATTGTGCACAAATGCCAATTAATGGCATGAAAGCCAAGTTTCATAAATGCCACCTTCTTGAATTAGATACATCGATCATAATCTCTCTCTCATCCTGCTCTTTGGCTGGATAATTGATGTCTCTCTCCTGGTTTGGTGTTCTCAGTGTGAGATCAGATATGCAACTTGGAGTTCTCTATAAGACGACTCGCTCAGTTAAAGTACTTTTCTGCATTTTTTTGAATAAAACAATTTGGTTAAGCCTCAACATACAGGTGTAAAGAATTAAAACTTTGAGCAAGAAAATGTCTTGTGCCTTTTTGTGCCATTTATTTTTCCTGTCTTCTCCTTTTCCTATTAAAATATAATTAATCATAAAATATAAAAAACACGCCTTTATTAATTGTATTCTAGCTTTCATGTGGTATTTTCTGTTCGTAAATACCCATAATAAAACATAGCTGATTCCTAATATAGCTAAAATAATCTCTTTCCTTGCCTGGCTGCATCTGTTTAATGTTAAATTATGCAAATCAAATCAGAACATAGCACAGCAGATATGGAGCATAGCCCTGCTTGTCGGATTACTAGGGTACATGGTACACTGATTAGAAGTGATATTAGTGGATAATGTTTAGATTAGGTATTAATCTATATCTGCAGACATAACATGGCTGGATCCCTTCACACACAGAAGTAAAGGAAGAGTTGTTTTTTTTTGTATGAGTCTAGATATCTCAGTGGAAGCAGAAAACCTTCAGTGTGTATTTTTTTTTCCTAAAAGGGTGGGAAAGAAATGTGTGAATTTCAATATAATAAACCCGAAAAATATTTAAGGAGTGACAGACAGTCGTCAGTGTTCGCTTTGTGCATTATTGGATGTTATGGAGCATATTTGTTTAATTATGGCATTTAAATGTTTTATTTTTTTATGCTTATGCTTACTAATCTCATGCTGTTGTTAGTAAATAAGTCATATTAATATTGTAATTTGCTTTGCATTAATAAGGTTTGCAGGACAGAACTGTGGGACCATTGACTTGCAGGGACATTGAAAACAGTGAGAATGTTAACAGGAGAAGAGAGCTGATCCATAATTCATACAAACCCAAACAACAGCAGGACCAGAGAATTAATCGGTACAAGATGGAGGGTTTGTGACTCAAATGCAGCAAACAGATGCAACATGTTTTCCCTCCATCTCTACCATTCTACAGATATATAGAAGATAATAAAGGGCTTCTTCACCTAAGTATATTGAGTTTTATGCTGTTGAGTTATATTTTCTCTACAGCAAATCTCTGTTGGTTCCTTCAACTGATTAACATCACAATTTATTGCACAGGTTTAATGCATGAAGGGTGTGTGTGTGTGTGTGTGTGTGTGTGTGTGTGCGTGTGCGTGTGTGCGTGCACGTGTGTGTGCGTTTTCCATAAAGGGCTGTTTGAGGTTAAAGTTAGGGTGAGTGCCAACATCAGTGAGTGTCCACAGACAGTATGCGTGTGACAGTCTGTCTATGTAGTGTTGTTGTATGTGTGAAGCTATGTGAGTGTATACATGTGTATTTTGTGTTTTTTTAATATATAACAAGTCTGTGGCTTATCAATCTCTGCCTTTCCCCACTTCATTAGCTTCATTAGCACAATCCACTGTTATCAACATGTACTACTCACTCTCTCTTTCCACCAATTGACCTTAGAACTGAAGAAGCTTCTCGGATGAGAGGTGAAACGTCTTCAAGCAACTTAAAGAAGTCCAGACGCTTTTCTTTGCAAGCTCCTTTGACCACTCTCTCTTTCCTTCACATACACACACTGGACCGCAAGTAGAGGATCTGCAAATCTGATCTAAGTTTCGTACAAAAAATGATCACATACGAGCCTGACAGAAGTTGCTATCCTACAAATAGAGTAGGAGAGCTCAAAAAACACACAACAGCGGTAAAACCTTGACAGGCTATGCTGATAATTACTTAACATTAACACTGTATCCTTCACAGGAAGCTGACACCCTGCATAAAAGCTCTAAAATCATCTTTGTTCTGACTATGTATTATGCAACCACCAGTTCCAGGCTAACACATTTTAAAGGATGTGTTTTGTGACGTAAAAGTATGACGACACAGCAAGTGTTAGTGATAATGAACAGGATTCCACATTTACTAAGCTGTATTAGTTTCCTTTTTTTAAAAAACAGAAAGAAGACTTTTACTTGCCAGCACAATCTGTGAGTGTTCTAACCCTGAATATAATTAGCCATTTACTATGCTAATTTGTTAGCATGGAGCAATGGGGGTGAATGATGTACTAGGTACATACTTCTGGTTTCAGTGTGCCAAAGCAAATGAAAAATGAGTCACAACAACACAAACACAGTTGTTTAATTCAGCGGAGTGTTTGTTGTGGTGTCTGTGAATGAGAAGCGCCTGTATCTGACAACAGTGGGAATCAATGAGTGTCGGCATGGCTAATATATCAGAGAGAGCCTTATGCTTTTGAATCTAGTGAGGTTGTGCTCTCTGTCTAAAGTCTTTCTGCTCAGAGATGTTGATATTTGATATTAGTCATCAGATGCTGACAAGAGGCTGATAGTTTGACCCCATCACCAAAGGCGAGCATCGACCTCTCAATCAAAACGAGACTCTTAACCTTTTTCCTCCTCCTCATCCCTACATACACCTCTGAACATCGCACTAATCCATCCTTTCAACTTGTCTTTTGACTGCAAAATACAAGAATCCTTGGCCTTCTGTCTTCACATCACACCTAAGTTGAGTCTCATTTGTGACCCATGTGTCATGTCTTAGCACACTAATGGAGATTCTGGCACCAAGGAAGTGCTGTCACTTGATGAATCTACATATGCACAGTCTATCACAAATAAAGTTCTTCATGCAGCCTTTGTACTGCTTACTCAAACTGCTCACTGTTTTTATATAAATGACATGTATTTCTGAGAAAATATAACTTTATTCTTTCACACTTCTGGGCCCAACACTGCCCTCACCTTAAGCCATTTCTCCCATTTCTTTGATCACTGCATTTACTCCCTTCTTTCGGTCACTCACATCAGTTCAATCTGATCCAATTCAAATGTGTTTTATTGGTCAAAAAAGAAGTGCCTCTTCAAGCAAAAACTTCTCTCACTCCCTCTCCATATCTGTACTTCTTTTCATTCACTGACTCAACAGGCCAGAAAAAACATCTGAAACCATCTCTCTGTTCGATCCATTCTTCAACATTCAGAGTTTAACTGCGTGGCCCCCTTTTTTTCTGTTATTTCTAAACATTTAAAACTGAAGGATTGCCTTCTGTCCACCAATAGTATTAATTTGATAATTACCTAAACAATTAGTAATGAGCCTGATCATATTATTTATTCTATTGATGCATATATAGTGATATCTTAAAGCAAACAAATGGTCATGCAAGCACCTCTTGACTGTTAAATCTGACCTACCTCAGTGAGGTGGGGGTTGGGGTTGAATCCACACTGGTTGCAGACAGTGGCCTTGCACTGGGTGCAGGTGTTGTAGTTGGGTACAGCCGGTGGGTTAGACAGCTCTGTGGTGGTGCACACTGGGCACAGCTTGCTGCTCGGCATGGGTGCTATCTGTGGCACTGAGTATGGTGAGGTGGGTGTCACACCACGGTCAGGAGACAAAGAAGGAGACCGACCTGTCCTGGAGCCGCCGGAACCACTGAAGTCAACTTGGAGGTTTCGGCGAGAGGCATGTTGACCAGGACTTTGACCTCCATGACCCCCCATGCTAGACCCAGCTGGACCGTGACCCATCCCTTGACCAGACCCTGGGCCCTGCCCCATTCCAGAGGCCTGGCTGGACTGCATATGTCTAGGAGAGGTAGGAGCTTCGTGAGTGGCCAGGCGGTAAGGCTCACCAGCTCTTGGCCCTATTCCTCCACTGCCCATTCCTCCTCCCATTCCCCCCATTCCTCCTGCTATTCCCCCCATTCCTCCTCCCATTCCCCCCATCCCTCCTCCACCTAATCCTCCCATTCCTCCCATCCCTCCTCCCATTCCCCCCATCCCGCCTCCACCTATTCCTCCCATAACTCCTCCCATTCCCCCCATCCCGCCTCCTCCCATTCCTCCCATCCCACCTCCTCCCATTCCACCCATTCCTCCTCCTCCCATTCCTCCCATCCCACCTCCTCCCATTCCACCCATCCCTCCTCCTCCCATTCCTCTTCCTCCATGGCCTCCTTGTTGCATGCCAGGCTTGGGACTACCCATTGAACCCATTGGACCCCTAGAAGAGACAAAGCAAAGGAAAAAAAGTCAAAATCAGACGTTTCTGTTAAAATCTCTAAAACAGAAATTCATTCAACCTTCCCAAAAAGTGACAGCACACTGGCACTGCAGGTTAACTGATATTTAAGGAATTTGGATCAGGATATTGTTTCTTACACTCACCATAACCAAAATTATACTAAGGCACAAGTGTCATAAACAAATAAACAGTGGGCTTCTCTGGAAGGCAGTGTTCCAGCAGTAAACATTGTTGCAAATGTTTTCATAAGTAGCTTACATTGTCTACATTAATCTAGGTTCTTAAGCAGAATTACATTTATTTGTGGGTAACAGTCGAGATTACATTAAAATATGCCCAGTTAACACATCTACTGTATGGCAGTCCTTCCAGGATGCTTGTATTATCTGTATATAGGATAATAAGTTCATGGCTGATTATTGCTGGGACTAAATCACTCTGTACTGAAACACCAAAACATTGCCATTTATTTGTTTCTATTTCTTGCATATAGGTCAGACAAAGACTAAAAACTTTTTGTCTACAAAGGCAACACTGTATGTATTGTTGTAATAAGTAAGAAAAAATAATGATTATTGCTTTGGTCTGAGTTTACTTTGATTTTCTCTTGTCTAAACAGGGTTAAAAGTAAACATGCAGGCTTAAATATAAAGATGCATTCACTTAAAGCTTTTAATTAGTCAGGCTAAAGACTCTATTTTTAACTTGGAAAGGCCAAGGCCAATTAACTTCTCATTAGTGATCACAGTTGACTACAGCTGGTATTTTCTCTTTGCAGGCATAAAAAGGAATTGTTTAACAGCACTCGGTAAACTGACTGCCACTCAGAACAATTGAAAAGTCAAATAAACTCAGTGAAGATCTAAGAATGAGAGTTGTAGATTTACTCAAGTTTCAAATGTCTCTTGGAGCCATTTCTAAACAACTGCAGCTTCCAGGATCATCAGTTCAAACAATTGTCCATAACTACATGTTATTTGGATGTCATCGCTTTGCCAAAATCTGGAAGGACACCCAAACTCTCACCCTCAGATGAGAGGAAATTGGTTAGGATGTTCAGGAACAACCTGGGAACAACTACTCCTCAAGCCTGCCGTGATTTAGAAACTGCTGTAACACCAGCGCGACTGTCGACAGTGAGTTTTACATCATCATGGACTCAAATCAAATCAAATCACTTTTATTGTCACATCACATGTGCAGGTACATTTGTACAGCACATGTGAGTGAAATTCTTGTGTGCGAGCTTCACAAGCAACAGAGTTGTGCAAAATACAATAATGTAAACAAGCAAAATACAAGAATGGCTACATCTGAAACTAATAAATATATGTACAATATATAATAGTATATGCATTTCTGGATGTGTATACTGAATATTTTTCTACGTGTGTGTGTGTGTGTGTGTGTGTGTGTGTGTGTGTGTGTGTGTGTGTGTGTGTGTGTGCGCACATATTTTATGTGTACACATATTTTACAAATTAAATAGTGTAAACAATAAATAAAAAAAAAATATATATATATACATATTAGGGCTGGGCGATATATCGAGTTTTTTAAAAATATCGATATATTTTCATACGAGATATAAGATGTGACAATATCGTTTATATCGATATAGTCTATGTTACGTTATAATTATACTCGTGGAGCCGCAGGTTTGCCTCTCTTTCGTCCACTTTTGTCTCTACGCAACGTTACTCGGTCTCGCCTCTCCTTCACTGAACACAACTCCACCTCCCCCATAGCTTCACCTGCAGGCAATGACAAGATGAAAGAGGAAAATCTCTGTTAGCGAGTTACCGTGCGTGGGGCTGGACGGCGTCAACGTGTTAGCGAGCTAACCGCGCTAACGAGCTAACTGCGCTAACGACATGCAGCCCGGAGGAGCTGCACGGCCTAAAATCCTTTCATTTTCTCAAAACTCGACAGTGCGCCTTATGTATGAATTCTGGTTGTGCTTACTGACCGCGAACCGATTTTATGTGGTACACAGCGCTCGGCAATCTGTCAAAAAATGTTTTAATATGACTTTGCTAAGCTACGGAGCTGCACCGCTTGATGGATTGTCTTGGAGGATTACGGCTACCGGGGAGGAGCCTCGCGGAGTGATAGTACTGTGCTTCAACGTAATATTACCGTACTGTGTGTGTATAAGGACCACAAATGGCACCTGTTCAGAGACGTGGTGCAGCTGTGAAATCTGTCTCTTTGTTATTATGCTCAGCGTCTATTAGTTTACATTTTGACTGCACAATTGTGAGCTTTTTGTTATGCACAAAAACAACATTGTTTTCTTTTATTTATGGACCATGATTATTTAATAAATGCTGATAATTTATTTTTGAGTAATTTCTTCATGTACATCTACGCCCACATCTGGGACACAGTGTGACTAGAACTCTCTTTTTGTTCTTAACTTATGGCTTAAAAAAAAAAATATCGAGATATATATCTTATATCGGCATCCAGCTAAAAAATATCGAGATATGAATTTTGGGTCATATCGCCCAGCCCTAATACATATATGTATAAAAAAAACAAACACCCAGCACGCCCCTGCGGGCAGTTTATCCTTCAAGCTCGGGTCCTCTACCAGAGGCCTGGGAGCTTGAGGGTCCTGCGCAGTATCTTAGCTGTTCCCAGGACTGCGCTCTTCTGGACAGAGATCTCCGATGTTATTCCCGGGATCTGCTGGAGCCACTCGCCTAGCTTGGGAGTCACCGCACCTAGTGCTCCGATTACCACGGGGACCACCGTTACCTTCACCCTCCACATCCTCTCGAGCTCTTCTCTGAGCCCTTGGTATTTCTCCAGCTTCTCGTGTTCCTTCTTCCTGATATTGCTGTCATTCGGAACCGCTACATCGATCACTACAGCCGTCTTCTTCTGTTTGTCTACCACCACTATGTCCGGTTGGTTAGCCACCACCATTTTGTCCGTCTGTATCTGGAAGTCCCACAGGATCTTAGCTCGGTCATTCTCCACCACCCTTGGGGGCATCTCCCATTTTGACCTCGGGACTTCCAGGTTATACTCGGCACAGATGTTCCTGTACACTATGCCGGCCACTTGGTTATGGCGTTCCATGTATGCCTTGCCTGCTAGCATCTTGCACCCTGCTGTTATGTGCTGGATTGTCTCTGGGGCATCTTTACACAGCCTGCACCTGGGGTCTTGCCTGGTGTGATAGACCCCAGCCTCTATGGATCTTGTGCTCAGAGCTTGTTCTTGTGCTGCCATGATTAGTGCCTCTGTGCTGTCTTTCAGTCCAGCTTTGTCCAGCCACTGGTAGGATTTCTGGATATCAGCCACCTCCTCTATCTGCCGGTGGTACATACCGTGCAGGGGCCTGTCCTTCCATGATGGTTCCTCGTCTCCCTCCTCTTTCTTGGGTTTCTGCTGCCTGAGGTATTCACTGAGCACTCGGTCAGTTGGGGCCATCTTCCCAATGTATTCTTGGATGTTCGTTGTCTCATCCTGGACTGTGGTGCTGACACTCACCAGTCCCCGGCCCCCTTCCTTCCGCTTAGCGTACAGCCTCAGGGTGCTGGACTTGGGGTGAAACCCTCCATGCATGGTAAGGAGCTTTCTTGTCTTTATGTCAGTGGCTTCTATCTCCTCCTTTGGCCAGCCTATTACCCCAGCAGGGTACCTGATCACGGGTAGGGCGTACGTGTTGATGGCCCGGATCTTGTTCTTACCATTCAGCTGACTCCTCAGGACTTGCCTGACCCTCTGCAGGTACTTGGTGGTTGCAGCTTTTCTAGCGGCCTCTTCATGGTTCCCATTCGCCCATATATATATGTATATATATTAGGGCTGAACGATATATCGCATTTGCGATAATATCGCGACATGATCAAGTGCAATTTTCTAACCGCAAAGGCTGCGATTATACTCTGGACATGTCCAAATTCATGGGCTGCATCCTCCTGAGGCCGCATTTGTAGACCGATTACGTCACAGCGACGTGCCGAAGGCTGTCCAAATTACTACCATATCCCAGAATTCATAGCGCGGCCCAGCCAAACTCCAGTTTCCAGCAATGGCGGCCGCTACTAAGTTTTAAAATTACTCATACTAATCTTTCTGGGTCACAAAATAAACTTTTAACATATTTTCAGGCGAGAAAGTAGTTGTGTAAACATCAAATATCTGCTCGGTTTATCAAGATATCCCATATTTGCAAAAGTGCTTCGACGTTTTCAGAGGCGTCTGCTACCCACCAGCTCGACAGCTAGCCGGGATCTCGAGGGTTACTGATGCGGCCGAGAGCGGCACAACTCCCGGCACATCATTTTCAGATCACCGCGGAGTTTCGCTGCTCGGGTTAAACGTAATATATAAGTCACTTAGACAACCTAAAAATGTTATTGTTGGGTTTTTTTCAGTGTTTTGTTTGTTCGTGAGTAAATCGGTTTGGCTGAGATTAAAGTTATTAGATTAGATAAAATAAAACTTTATTAATCCCCCGGGTGGGTTCCTCCTTGGTTTTCACACAGCTGACTAAACGTCAAACAGAAAACTTATTAAACAGAAGTATGAGACAGTCGAGAATTTACACCAGTGTCTGGTTATATTTTAGATAGCAAGAAGCAGACGGCCGAGTTTATTAAACTCCACCGAGACAGCGGTGACGCTAATCAGAACTAGACCGTCCAATTTCACGCCTTTAAATTTTAAAGGCGTGTTTGTGTGTGTGTTTATACAATTGCTATTATGTTTGCACTTTATGTGTAATGTTACTGACTGCAGAGATCAGTAAGATGTGTGTATTTTTTATTTATTAGTTTTATTTATTTAATATTATTTTTTAATTGAATGACTGTCTAGTAGTTCACAGATGTCGAAAAACTGAGTGTGGTAAAGCCACTGATTTTTTTTATGTATATTTCTGCAATCTGCACATTGTACTGACTTTCATTTTAATGTTTACACCAGGGTTCCTTGTCAGCACTTTATGCTCAGATGTTTGT